GGCATGCTCTTCCGAACTTATGCCTAGCCTGTAAATCCCATGCCGCCTTTACGCCAAAAAAAAAGTAACATCAACTTCGAGCATCCCAACCTTCAAAAAAAGGCTTGAGGAGGAAGCCTGCATGAACCTTTGGGACATGTAGTTGTTGACGATATCCGGTGGTTGAGGTTTACTTTGTGTGCGAAAATTCAATTTGATGATCTTCATGCTTATATAGGGTTTGGACATGTGCAACCAATGAAGCATCCCTAATGACCTGCAAACCTGTTGCAAGGTGGTGCCCCCCGGTTTATGACTGACATGAAGCCTTCTCCATTTGGGCACTTGTACTTCCACATCCTGAAGGGCACCACGCGCTAGAACTATTCCCTACCCCCTTACACTAACTGCTATCGAATTGCACCATGGGGATGGTATGGTGCATGGAAGCGTGCAGGTACCCTGTCACCATGTATAGTTCAACAGGGCAGTGAAACGTGTCCGGTTGGCGATTCATGGCTGAATCCTCCTCTTCTATTATAAGGCACTGATAAAAAGTGGATACTTTCCAGCCCAGCTCATGCTTTTCAAACAATATCTAAAGATTTTGTGAATTCAAGCTTCCAAATCTGCACTAACTCTAAATCCTACAGGGGCTGCCACCTCAACACGCACAGCTCGTGTCTTCAAATCTGGAATTGTTTTTGAAAATCCATCCATCAATAACCCTCATATTTGCCGGTGTTGGTAACTTGGGCTTGCTTGAGGTGGAAACTACCTACGCCTAAAGCAAACAGGAAAGTAAACTTCCACTGGCATCGAACACGCGCACTCAGGCAAGAAATCCTTCTCATATTGCAAGACACCATTACTGCTCACCAACTCTTAACCAACACTAGCAACTGCAGCACGATCCGGGGTGGTGAGTTTTCTGAACGCTCAAAATATTCATGGCCGTGTTTTACTACGACAGGAAAAAAGGGAACGTCATGCCGAAAACTTATCACATCAGATTGCCTGAGCTGGCTGAATGGGGTGTAAATCGTTTTGCCTTCTGCAACGCCCTTGAAAATCAGAGATCCAATGGGATTCTGGGAGTTTTGATGCCTTTGAAAAAAATGTCTTGATCAGAGTAAGTGCATCTTCCACGACTTCAACCTAAGGTGCGGAGACCTCAGTTACTGCTGTTTTGAAATGTCCTGAGTTTGTTTGCTTGGGAAAAGCATTCCTAGCACAGCAAGCCTCCTGCCCATGTTAACAGGTACTGTGAGTTCTTGGTACGGATAGAATTCGGTCCAATTATGGTCATAATGCCGCCGGTTACCCAACCGAGCCCAACGGAGGCCAGATTCTGGCTATGTCAGGGGATGGCACTGCCCTTGCCAGTGACTTTGCAACTAGGAGCAACAAGAAGGACATCAACACGGAAACCCAGCCCATCATCCTGACAAAAGATGTGCTCAAATCAGAAAAACAACACGTAAGATTTGGCCCTGATCTTGAGCCTGAAGGTGTCTCACTTGGGTTTGTGGAATGGGCGTGGCTGGTTGTGAGGTGCTGGGAAACGGAACGCATAAAGTAGCGCATGAACATAACAATTATCTTACATGGATGGGCTGCAAGCTGTGGTGAAGGGCGGGGTTCCATGCGTTTTTTTGCATGGGGCTTCCAATCCGGCTTGAGGGCAAACAGGAATTTCTTTTGCATATGAAGCTTTTTCTGGCTTCTAGATATGGGGACAAGTGAGCGAACTGGTACGCAGAAATGCAATGCTTGTCACAATGTTCCCTACAATGACTGGCAATCTTTTCTCCCCTAGAGCTTCCAAAAGGGCGACAATTTTGTTGTGATTACAGCTATGATCGCTATTCTCGCCTCCTGAGCTTGTCACCCCTGCAAACTCCTCACGCAATAAGCCCTGATAAGGACCCAGCCATCAGGAGTCACCTGCTGGTGTGAAGGCCTGCAGTGACGACGAGCATCTCAACATATTTGAGTGGGGGTTTTGAGTCGGTAGTGTCTCGAACACCTCATAAGAAGAGCGTGGGCATGCTCCTTGTTGTGCTCTGCTTGGCAATGTGCAAATGTGGGGGCACTCGCGAAGGTTGTTATAGAGAACGTAGTAGAAACAGTATAGCAATAACAATGGCAATAATCAAAAAAACTAGTACATAGTAAGAGTAAGAGCAGGAATAAATAGTAACTACTAAAGAGTAAACAAGAAATAAAAGATAGGTAATAGTACTAGCAACAGTAATAAGAACAATAACAATAACAGAAACAATAGCAGTAGTAGTAATAGTAATAGTAATAGTAATAGTAATAGTAATGGTAACAGAAATACAAATTAATCATAATAACGGTAAAACAGTAACAGTCATAGAGGTAAGAATAATCAGAGTTATAGCAACTGTATTAGCAATGATAGTGAGCATGATAACGATAATAATAGCATTAGTAATAGCAGTAAGAATAACCATTGAAATGTCGATGTAATAGAAAGCATCATAGTACTTGTAGCAGTGCTAGTCATGGTAATTGTTGAAGCGGTTGATGCAGGCATTGAAAATCGAGCGGCTTGCATGATTTTTATTATCCTCAAGGTTTGCAGAGCTTCTTGACACAGCGGCTTTGATGTTGAGTCAGTTGCAAAGCTTAATTCTCGAACCCAAGCTTACGTCCATGTATCTCGGGAGAGCCTAAGCCAGGCTGGAAGACGAACAGCATGCAATCGGGACAGTTCACATGACGCAATCCAAAATCCTGTTGTTAAAGCTGAACGGCTAAGTTGCAGGTTTATTTGATGCACAGCGTGGGTAAACCTCAAAGATAGTCTTTATTGTGACCGAATAATGGTCCAAATGCTGAACCATAAGTCCGCACCTCTGAACCTAAAACATTGGGAGTGGATGCCATCCAACGCAAGCTGTAGGGCCATGCCTCCCAAACCCATTCGCCTGCCATGGAATTTGCAGAGGCACATGGGACCATTTGGTTGAGGTTTGAGGGTTCCACTCCCATGGGAATGATAAACCCTAAACCCTAAACCTAAACCCTCACTCAACCCTACATTACCAACCTCAGGGCTGAATAGGGAGAAATGATACAACCCGCATCAGTGTTGGGGACACTGTTCACTTCGACTTTGTGTATAACAGTTTCAAACGTGCGCGTGAAAACGAAACTTTCTAGCATCAGCACTTGTCAGGGCCGGATCTGAACCATTCCTAACAAGCCTACGTTGTGAAGCCCGCGCACGTTGGTATATGAGCTACAGCCAACATTTCCTACATAATTGAATGGACATGGGTTCATTATTAGGGACTACATTGGTGACCATATTAAACTGCAAGAGGGGGCCAATGTCCGCTATTAAGGGTCCCTTAATAAGCCTGATATTGGCAGCAGCTCATATAGCCTTCAATGAAATATGTGAACAGCTTCAATGGCTACGGGCTAAGGTATGTGTGCGTTGAAAGCGTTAGAGGCCGTTACACGCTACCAGCTCCCCCAGCCGGGTAAAGTTTTCGACGGGAGCTTATCTACGTCATCATGGGACGTACAGGGTTCCGTGAACTGTCACATCTGCCTATATATATATATATGCTAGATTCAAAGGCACCAAATCATGTATCTGGGGATGCAAATGGATCAGCAGGGAACATCTGTGTATGATCCTGTGATGACTACACAGGGACTTTGATCTCAACTCGAAGAATTCGTTCAACCAGGGTCCAACAGGAGAATGCGTGGAGATTTGATCAACTTATATGCAGCATTTGGCCTTCCTTCTCCAAGTTCTGTTCGAGACTGCACTTTCCTGTCAAACAATAAGTTTGTCAGCATTGGTATCATCAAAAATGCAGCTGTGATGGAAAAACATCCTCATAAAATCATTCGTTGCGAGCTTCGTGGTGAATGAGGCCAAGATGCCGGAAACTATGTCCAAAGCCTACCTCAACCTCACAGACACTTTTCTGGAGTATGAGAAGCCCTCATGGTTTTGATTGTATGTACCGTGGTCGGACTAAATACAACAAAATACCCAACTTGGTTCAGAACTGGCCTTTTACCAACCCGACAAACATACTTCAGTGCCACCACTTTTCGACCAGGCGCAATGCTTTAAACACCAAGGCTGCTGCAAGCTAGCAATATATTGCTGATGAAATCTCATGCTTTAATTGATGAAGATTCTTTCCTTCATACCAAGTGAGCAAAGTGGAATGGTATAAATGGACTGCCATGGAGATTCACCATTACAATGGAGTGGTTCCGAGCACCAGCTGATTGGAAACTCTGTGTGTTGGGCTTCCATCTAAGTGTACAAACCGACAGGAAACCGCAAGGCTTTTCTCTGACGGGTGGCTGGAAGAATCAACTTGGGTAGTTGGCAATACACACATATTCTTACTTGAAAGCTCGGCAGTTCGGTTTGCTGTGGTAGAAACACCACATGAAGACTTCATAGTTGCGTGCATGTGAAGGATGCAAGAAACCTGTTGCTGCTTGCAGGAGCCTTGCTAAGATGAGGGCTAAACAACATGTGTGGCTGTTCCCATGGCAGTGGTGCTGAGACATGCAGACAAAACACCTGCTGGGAACTTGAACCGGATTTCTTCAGGAAGGATTCAGGAAGGATTTTTGTCAAGTGTAGTTCCGCCTGATAGAGCATTGAAGTCATTAAATGCAGCTTCAGGGCACGCTGAAATTGAAAGTCTGGAACCTTATGATCCAGCCTTGCAAATTCGATGGTTGTGGTGATTGGTGACTTGCATGACAACTTCCTAATCACTAAATGTGTGGCCTTGGCCTTTTTGCCAGCAACTTCTCGAAGACTGTTTTTTTACTGCTACTGCAACTCTTGTCAGATTTCCCTTGTTCTGCTGCTTTTCGGCATCAGCTCGTGTATAGTGTCTTAGTGACGCCAACATCTATTCATTTTGTCCCTTCCTCATTTCTATGGGCTCCCTTTTCAAGACCGCAGCTCTCAGCACCAAAGCTGGGAAGCCCTTCGGCTCTTAGCTGACAGCGCAGTCGGGCAAAGAATCGAAGGGATCGTCCACCTCGGTTCTAATTCTAGGCTCCATATTCTTTAGAAAGCTGGTAGGGATTGATATGAGATGTCCGCTTTCCCAGAAAGCCCAGCTTCAAATGCCAGAAGCTGAATTGAAGGATTTGCAAGTCTAAGGAAGTGGTCTACGCAATCCTTTGGGGATTACCATAATCCTTACATAATCAACCCTTGCCTCTAGGGTCCGTACCCCTTATTCCAGAATCGCTCCTCGCCCTCCGAAACACCAAGCCCAGGGACCAGTTTTGAGCCTGCAGCGTCCTTCAGCCTCAATGGTAGGTCGTTCAGAACTATTGTTCGGTTTTGAGACCCCAGTACAGTACAGTGCAGCCCCTAAAATTCAGGGCCAGAAATTCTGACACCTCCTCGAGTGATGTTTGGGATGCAAGGTTTGGGGTTGATCGCCATTCTTGTGCCAACTGTCACAAACTGCTTGAGGTACTGGCAATAAGTGCGACAAGAACTGTAGCGAGAATACTCGCAGCACACCGTACTGCAAGCTCGAGCCTTACCATGGAATTTGTTTCTTTCTTCACCCACGGCTTGGCTTGCGCCGCTAAGCGTGTGAGACTTCGAGATTTTCATGTTGATGGGCTTACGCGGAATCTTCTAGTAAATGCAGTTCAGCATCATCGAATGTCGTGATCTTTGCGTGAAGGGTGTCATGCTTGCTGCTGAAAGCTTATTCTATGTAAGCCCCATGAATCCCATATAAACCCCATATAATCTTGATATAAGCCCCAAACAATCCCCATGTACCCCCCGATATAATCCCCTGTGTCGCAGATGTCATTGAAAGCTTTTCGGCAATCAAGGCTTCCGAAAGATAAGAAGCTGGCATGACACAGCTGTTAAATCCCTTGCGCCAGAGGCTGAGAACCTTCAACATGCTTGCTTTCCCTTCTTTGCCGATAACAGGAAATTTAAACTATGAGTCTAGGTGTTGAAGCCTGAACCTTAAACATCCAAGAAAGCTAGCTTTTACCGAGGGAACTCGATGTTGGCGTCGTAGGTCCAGGTCAGCGACAGGCAGGCTGCGTTAGTCGCCAGTGGATTGAAAGTCTGCCTTACAGACCGTGATTCTCACAGAATGCAGGACTCTAAAGGACTGCATTCTGTACGAGTGGGATCTCTGTTAGGAAGCACTAGTCATTGCCGTACGTGTGCTGCTAGAAATTGGTACTGAGCATCATGATGCGCTCATTGATTTTGGGCTTCGTGTCAAGGGACAGTATGAAAACTAAAAACCGACATGTCTCTTCACGTGGGATTTGTCCCAAGGCAGCTGTGGCAAACAGCAAGAATGCTGTTCCCTTAACAAGCGCAAATTCGAACATGGTGTGGGTGCTCCCACTCGAAACTCACGCCTGCATATCCTTCAAACGTGTCCCTCCATCTGCATGTTGTCTCTCTCTGTGTCGCTGTGACCCCTGTTGGGAGGTCCGTCGGTCGCTCATGTTTTCTTTTGCAAGCGCTTAAGCTTCAAATACTTACGCTAGGACATGCCCCAAGCCCCTGCTCTAGTCGTTGAGGCCCTGCACCCAACTCAAAACGAACCCCTGCATAAAACCCAGTGTTTATGGTTCCTTTGACTTTCATTGTGATTTTCTCCTTCATTCTCCAGACTTCTAATCATTCGGGCCCCTTTTGTTGCGCCGCGTACTGAAAATTGCCTAAGAACTTGCTCACAACAAGTTCGTTTAAAACCTTCGGCGGAACCATGATGAAGACAGTTGCTTTTAGCCCTGCTACATCCGCAACGATTTCTGGTGAACCTGCTACAGAAGGAAACCTTCAGGATCCTAAGGATCCAGGATGATGATTTGGAGAGGCTCCTCCTCATTGTTGTATATGGTAATTACTGTAAATAGCCAGATACGGTAATCTTCATTGTAAGGACTACCCCAAAAAAGGTACCACCACAATTTTGGAAAGCTCCATATGGGCATCATCTTGCAAAAGTCCCACAGCTGCTTGCTTGCTATACCAATAATGATTGCAATAATAACAATATATTAGCAATAAAAATTGAAATATGAATACTAGTAATACTAGTAATACTAGTATAATACTAATAATCTCAATAATACGAATAATACTGGAAATTGATTAAAATCTGAAATACTGGTATAATACTGTGTCGAGAGGCAAAGATGCAAGGCCCACCTTGACACCTTGACCAGCATACTTCGAGTCGAAGAAGTACCTGAGCAGCAAGCCCCTTTCCCTTAGTAATGGCCCCCGCATCCGTAATATCACTTCTCCAGACCCTTCCCAGCAAAGTACTGGGAAGTTAGTGTTACAGGGGTTGGGGGTGTTATTATTAGGGAGGATACTACTGTATAACTTGGACCCTCAAGCCTCAGAAAGATGAAGGAACAACATGCCTATGATGGAAACGGGTATTCGGCTGCAATCCTACAAGGGAATCATGTAGAGTTCTACTCATGTACACTTCTGCCCCAAAACCCCAACCAGGAAATCATGACGTGACAGGCAGGACCCAAGCCCTGTATTGATGTTTCAGGACAACATGAATCCACCTGATTCAGCATGACTTACCTCAGCACATGGTGGCAGCCCGGCACAAGCAAATTATCATCCATCCTCTCCGCGATCATTTCGAGGAAAGTGCCAGACCTTGCACCCTGAAAACAAGAAACTCCAGGGCCTCAGATGCTACCACTACGCTTTATGAAATCCTAATGCAGAGTTTTGGGCGTACGGCTGAATATTGAAATAGGAAATTGGAGCCCAAACTCCTAAAGCAGACCTGCATACATAAATGCAAGACAGCTATGGACCGCAATTCTACTGCAGTTTCTATTTCACTTCCCATTTGCGTTTTCCATTTGTACAGCCAGTGCCCGCCATGCTCAGAGCACGCTTCAGCTGCGTTTTCCATTTGCTTCTCCATTATTGGGGTAACCCTATACCCTAAAAAGCCCCAGGCCTCTCCAATTCGACCCAGATGCTTGGTCCATTGCTTGTGCAACGCCATGGCCAGGAGATAGCCTGTTGAATTCAGCGGCGAGTCGTGATGGGGCAGCTGTAGCAGTTTCCCTGCAGGCGCCAGCTTCGAAGTCTCTTCCAGAATCCGATGGGCAACCTAGGAAAGGCACAGTGAAGACAAGAAGAAGAACAACAAAAACAGCAGGGGTAGAGTTACTGAAGGCAAAGCCCCATTGCGTGTGCACAAGGCACATTGAGAATTCTGCCTCCGCCTTACAAAGAGTGACAAACGAACTCGTAAAGGCTGCACATGCATTTTGGCAGCATTTATGATTTGCTTCCGCTGCTCAAGGTCGGAGTAATCCAGAATGCAGGTGCCGACCACTTCAGCTGTCCAGTTCATGGAATACGCGTAATGGACAGTGTCCTGGGTGGCCAAGCAGGAAGATAATTGCACAAAAATGCACCTTGCTGTCGTGCCGATGTCTGCTAGCCTCATGATCTCGTGCTTGCAAAATCCATGAGTCTCAACCGTCATGGAAATATGGTAGGTTGTTAAATTTCTAAGCACTCATTATATTTCGGCACCGAATATTTGGTTGCCTAAAAATCAAAATTTTGACAACTCTATACCCACTGTTTGTGTTCAAAGGTTGTGCTCTGTGTCCTTTAGTTCCGTTGTCCGCTTTCAAGTTGTGTCTGTTGCTTGTGTCCGGTTGGTCATGTGCTATCTCTCCACCCAGGGAGATCCCCCCCTGCCAAGGATAGGGAACCCCGCCAAACTGACCCCTTTCCTTTTACTACATTGGGGAAGCTAGGGATTTTTGGGAGGTCGCATTTTTGGATCCTTGAACTGATCCAAACTGGGTTGCTGTTAAGGAACTTAAATTAAGTTACCATAATGGCTATATACAGTAAATAATAAGGTTCCCCCAATATAGTAACTTAATTTAAGCTCCTTAGCAGCAACCCAGTAAATTACAAGTCTCGAGCAAAGTTTCTGGTGTGGGTGCAGTGTAGTAGTGATCACAGGCTGTAGTGCCCGTCCCAATCTTCGAAACATGCTTCCTGATCACCTCCCCGTAATAATAAACCCAACAATATAGTTCCGGTATATATTAGGGGGAATATTTAATGTCAGGGGGTGCGGGGTTCATTCTGAAGGGAGAGGAGTACAATCAATGGCATGCAGTTCTGCAATGCATGGAGGATCCTATAGGTATACAGAAGTTGCACGTCAAACCCTTCAGGAATGTAATTCTTCCATCTCTAGACTAGATCTTTAAGAATCTAAGGTTGGGCCCTAAATCTTGGGGTCTTTGTATACCAATTACACATCCTATATAGCCCTAAAGGCCCAGTAAAGGCTTGATAGTTAGGACCTTACAAAGAAAGCAGCGCTTGATGTCGAAGCCAGGCATCGCCACTCGCGGAGCATGCTCGCGCCAGCCGATGAAAGTGCTGAGGCGTCATGTAATCCAGCACGTTAGACCATGACCTCAGAACATCTCGTGGTTCAGGGCTTAGGTCGAAGGGGTGGACCTACTTCAGAACATCTTGGATACTATCAATTTGAAACATATTTGAGGCACCCTGTACTACATACAAGTATACAAGGAATCTAGGACTATACAAGCGACAATTTTTAAGGCCCTTGTAGAATGTTGGAATGTCAGACTATGCTTCCATAATGACACTGTAAAAAGCCACGACACTGGCTCCAGATGCACGGTCACAGATGGACACCAAAAACAACCACGGGAGTTTCAATATCGGATTCCCGGTTGGGTTTGGCATGAGGATAATTGAAAAACCATATGCAGGCCCTGGATCTTAGCGGCCGGGACAAGAGTACACTGCTGCTAGAGTGGGGACCTCTCTACATTCTTCAGAATCTTTAGATTTGGAAACATTGCTGCGCTGCCCTGAATGTCAGAAAGCAAGGCAACCTTGACTTCAAGGATGCCCCTCGCACGGATATGATGCCGCGAAGAGATGAACCTTTGCATTGTGATGCCGGGCCCAGATCACCCATCACAAGGAGACTGTTCTAAGGTAGCTTTCTGCAAACGCTGTAGAATCCACATGAAATTCGTGGCTTAACAGAAATTTGTTTCAATGAATCCCCTCTAAGAGGCTTTGCCACAACCTTGATCATACTATTACAGGAACATCGGAGGACGATAGCGGCATCAAGGGAAACTGATGTCGATTTTCAGCGTGGGTCCCCATGCTCACAATTTTGAAAGTCATAGCCCACAGCTAGACGGAAACTTTGCCAATCCAACAGCTGTGCAGAAGCCGCTGAAGGATCCGAACATTAGGAGCCAAAGCTATATGCACATGCTTCTGACAAGGAATCCAATAACCACCTAGTACAGCCTTCATCCTTCATTTGCATCCTGAATGACTGGGTGTTCATTCGTCCCTTGAATCCTTTTCGTGCGAACTAAGGGGTGTCGTTCTAACTGCACACGAGGAATGGATCCCAATACACAATGTGTAACTGAATGCAAAATTTTATCCGTCCATAGTAGGCTTACATATGATAACCAACATGTCGAAGCCGGGCGACATCGTCCAGGGCTGCTGATCTGCAACCCACTTGGCAATCGAAGTGTCCGCTTCAACCAGCTCGCATCGCCTGGGACACAGCTCACAATCCAAAAAGCAGGTTCGTCCCTTGGGGCTTCTAGAATTTCTCTGGTCCGTCTTGTACAAACACAAGCACCCTACAACGAAAGTAAAGTGGGGCTCAAGCTTTTCGTTCCTCCGGTATGACTTGGACATGTTGGTCTCTGGGGTGCTGGTTCTTCTACTGTGGAAATCGTTTGTTTGAGGATGCTCACTTCTACCATGCCCGAGCGGCTTGTCGGGGCTTTTTGTGCAGGAAGCCTTGAGTTCTCTGACGTGCCAACCATGCCTCAATTTCGTATTGGACGTGATGTCGCAACGTGAACCCAAAACCATGCAATTTTATGTGCCCTGGAACCTTTCCAAAATCTCATTTTTTGCTATTGATTGGGGGCTCATTTCAGGACAGCCCCTATACCCTCAACCCTAGGATGCTTCAAAAATGTCAAGAGGTCGCATTCCCTTGTCTAGCACAGTGACAGTTCATGTTTCGAGGCTCACATGTCGTTACTCTGCCCTGAGAGCTGCGCGGCAAAACGCGAGCAACAATAACCAAATGCCTTGTACCAGTATATTAGGGACCTTAAGTGTACCCCAAGAATTACAGCATATTAGGGACCTTAGGTGTACCCTAAGAATTACAGTATATTAGGGACCTTAAGTGTACCCAAGAATTACAATGTATTAGGGACCTTAAGTGTACACCAAGAATCACGGTATATTAGGGACCTTAAGTGTACCCCAGGAATTACAATATATTAGGGACCTTAAGTGTATCCCAAGAATTACAGTATATTAGAGACCTTAAGTGTACCACAAGAATTACCTTATATTAGGGACCTTAAGTGGTGCAAGATTTCCTCCATCCAAGTGTAGTAAGCATGCAAGTAACATTAACAACAATCGGGATAATACTACGCAATGGTAATGGGGATGTAACTCACACAGGACACGTAAAAAAGGCTTGGTTGGTTGAGTAATGGCTTTAATTTGAATGCACCGAATGGAGGAACACCTGTACTAACTCATATGAGTTATAACACCCCCATGGAAAAATAATTCCATCTCCTTGTCCAATTTCTGAACCTTAAGCAATATACATCCCTATTATTAAAGACACCTACCGGCGTTTGGCGGTTGCCCTACAAACTTCCAGACCACACCGAGGGGCAGCTCGATCCTGACTACGCCCTTCTGTATCTGGTCACGTAGGCGCTGCAGTCTCTGCAGCAGAACCTTGACCAAGCCTTGCGGGCCCAGGGTTCTGGGATTGTAGGCCAAGGCGGCTGAGGTTTAGGGTTGGTTCCTCATGATTCACAAACATTGTGGGGCCAGGGTTCAGGCCATATGACTGAAGGCCAGCGTTGAAAGTCTGGAATGCCCTCAACTCGAATTGTCCGTCATTGCAGGCGTACCAATGCATGGGCCACATGATAAACGCTTCATACGGGTGTCCGTGCACTGAACATGCCATGCTGGTGCTTGAGGGGGATAGATCCCTGCAGTAATTCCTATGTCATTATGTAAGCCCCTAAAACAAAGTCACAATCCTTATACAGCCGCTTCAAAGTTAACATCTAGTTCCTATAGAACCCTTTATAGCCATCGTATGGAGAATTGGCGGACGGTGGATGCTGATGCATAGATGGGATACAAAGGTCATACAAAGAGATATAGGGATATGTAGCGAAATAAAGGGTTTGGGCGGACATAGAGGGTTTGGGCAGGGAAGTTTTGAGACTCAAAGTCATATGAACATTCAAACCCTTGTTGTAAGCATTCTGGGCTTGCAGAATTTTAGGGTTGTAGAGTTTTGAGCCCGCCACATGGAGGAACGCCCAAGCAAGGTTCGTTGGGCCAGCCCTGGGCTATGGAGGATGAAATTGTGGTGTCGCGAATACACAAACCCTCAAAAGAAGTCGCTGGACCCGACAGATTCCCTGAAGTATGAGTTCTGCTTCAGATGCATGGCAAGATTCAATGCCTACAAGCTGAGAATCCTCAAGCAGCTTAATGCTACCTTTACTCCAGGGGACATTTGGCGATGTTATCCTTCTTGGGCCCTTCAGCAAGGTCGTCGATCTCCACAGCGTTGAAAGCCTTGTTCTCACATGGTCTCTTCGGGAAAACATGCACTTAGGAGGCTGTAAGTAATGCTACACTTTTTCTTGGGAAACAAACCCAACCAACAAAAACATACATTTTATGCAAAGCACCAAATGGAGCTTCCAAAGCAGGGGCCACTGAGATACACCCCAGCATGCGGATACAATCCTGATGTAGGCATTCCCAATAATAAGGCCACCTAATCTTTGGAAACCTTAAACCCTGAATATCCGTACATGTTCTCTCTACATCCCTAATGACTCACTGTAACGCCGTTAATGAGCCCTAAACATAACTCACAACCCGCAACAAGTCGCCCTTAAATGGGACTCTCAATGTGCCCATCGTATGAATCTTTGCCTGACTTTCTTGAAAAGCTTGATGTTGGAATGTGAGGTCTATAGGAAGTGTGAGCCGGGAGATTCTTGTATGTTCTATCGCGCCAGGGCGTTTCATCTAGCGGTCCATTGAGACTTAGGGCAACAGCTTCCACGAAGTTAGACGAACCCAACCAGGGGTAGTACGAACGCTGCCGCGGACATGCGCAGGCTTAGTCGGAGGGGCTAGCTGCTTTGACGAGCAGCTCAGGGCGGGAGGAGGGTTAGCCGAAATCTGTCAAATGACGGTGGGCTGGATATCATATGCGCTGCCCCCATCTGGGCTGCCCAGAGAAAGCCAATGATTCGAGACATCCCACTATCCTCCAATACCACTCCCTCTGTTGAAGCTCATACATCATCCCTTTCACCTTCAAAGTTGGATCTGCAGCATAGGATTCTGGATCCCTACCCAACCACGTCAGAGAAGCACTCTCTCCCTGTGCAAGGGGTGGTGCTCCCGCTGGGACAGACCACATAGCAGGATTACCAACCTGAACGCGGGTTTCAGGATTCTGGTGCTGAGACAAGGCTTGCGGGTATTGCGCAAATCGAGGGGGCCTCAACCTCAAGAAGCCGCACCCCTCACATGTTCCCTGGTAGCCAGCACTAGTTGCATATTACTTTCAACACTAGCGCTTAGGGGGACGGGTTTCAGGAGTCGGGATTCAGGATCGAGGTATGGTATAGTAACCTGAAACTCCTCCATATCATGCCTCTATACAACTCTATAGAAACCTATACAAACTGAAATAACCCCTTTTTAGCCTCCATATAATCCCTATATCTGACTAAGAGATGAACAAACAATTAGAACAAAGTGTGCTGCACGCAAGATCTATCGTTTCTTTGCTGGTTGTAGCCGAGCTGTAGATACTAAGTGGGCTCCCCTTGAAATGGTTGTTGGCATATACTTATATATATACACATATATTTACACATGCAGGGCAATATGGGGATATACAGGGCTCGGGGTCCAGGTTTTAGTCATACCCACTATGTACGTTCACTACCTTAGACCTCCAAGCAGGAGAAATGGCAGGATACTGCCCTCCTTCAGCAACAGTTGGATACTACTTGTGGCATGAATATACTAAGCCCTTGATATTACCTAAACCCTCGACCTGGTTCCAAGTATTGCTTCAAAGCGCTTCCTTGTCCAGGATGCCAAGCCCTAAGCGGGGTCTATCCATCCAGAATGAGGTTTTGGGTAATTTCATAATTTCTACTACTAAAGAAAGATACAACATTTCAGCCTCAAATCTTAGCATCTTCCATCTATGAGGCGCCATGTTCGCCTTCTGGAGGGTAGAGACTGCGGAACTTTGAGCTCTGAGCTCTCAATCCTGAGCCTGAAGCCCCTGAAGCTTGCTGGTCAGAAATTTTAACTAACTCTCCATAATATGGATCTGTAGTAAATCATTGGGTTTCCGTACTATAGTAGCTTTACTGAAGTTCTTGAACAGCAACCCAAGAAACTTCATCCTCAACTCCAAAAACTCTTGAGTACCATTTCATTGCCTCTGGTTTTTCTGCGTCGAAGACATCGCCTGTGAGGAGATACTGACCTGGGTTGGGTTGTGAATGCTTACTCAACATGACCTTCGACCTCTCAATCTTTTCTTCGACATGTAATAAGCATACTACTACTTTTTTTTTTTTTTTTTT